TGTGAGCTGGGGATAGCCTTTTAAACATAAACACATTTGTTTAACAGCATATTTGGTGCAGCCCTGATCTCTTACTTTTAATTCTGCTTTGTTTTTCACTCTTAATATATCCAGCACCTCAAAAAAATAGATGTTCCACTGCCTCAAAGCTGCCACAGAAACCCAGGATGGCTAAGGATGCTGACCTCTGAGCCAGGCACTCTAGTGACTAGAACCACAGTGACCCCTGGTGGCCATTTCCTGTACCTGCAGCAGCTCCAAGTTATTTCATGTCCCGGATTCCTAATACTTCGGTGCCCATAAGCCTTTCTTGCACAACTGCCCTTGGCTACTGAGTCCAGTCCCTCTCCCAAGGGATACCCCTTAGTCATAATTCCCTGTCTCACACATTCCTTCTAGGAAACTCAGCCCAACACGATCCCACTGGACAGGAGAGCGCCGGGCACACAGCAGCCACCCAGATATTTACTGAATGAGAGACTCTAAGTACCTTCTCAGAGCTGAAAGCGTTCTGCATACAGCAGGTGCCTAATAGCTGCTTGCCGGAAGCCCAGCATCCAAGCATTTCACCGTAGTCCCATCTCTGGAGAGACTGCTCACACACCCATTCATTCCTTATTTACTTATAGACAGGCTCTTGCTATGTAGCTCAGGTTGGCCTCACATTTATGACTGTCCTGCCTCAGCCTCTTGAGTCCTGGGGTCACAGGCCTGTACCACCATGCATTTTCTATTCTATCTCCACAGATGCTGCCTGAGTTTTGCATGGCAGAGACCGCCACTCCTTTCCATGAGCTGGCAATGGCAAGTTCAGAGATGTAGAGAATTGCTCCAAGGCAGCCCAGTAACTACAGCAGAGATTAGCAACACAGAAGGTTGTTTCCCATGGCCAAAGACCTTATCATTTAGCCCTGGGTTTTAGCTTAGGGGCTTGCTCTTGCTCCTAAGCCTCTTAGGGTTAAGACTCTTACAAATTCTAAAGATTATTAAATATTTCTGGCGAGGGAGGGGTGCTCTGGAACACACACACAAAATGCAATTCCTCAAGGTTACCAATCCCCGAGCCAGCCCGTGGACAGTTAAAGATGGATTTTCCACATCCCAGGAATGGGAGGACCCTGGCCCTTACAGACGCCGCCGGGCATCCTGTGTGTGCAGCTCGCCCCCGAGTGGCCGATCCTGGGATTGCCCGGAAGCCGGTCCTGTAGGTGCAGGATGACTGTCGTGGAGGTTGCCTTCCGAGGAGGGAAAAGCTACCTATGTGGTGAGGGACAAGCTGTGGCAGGTGACATCTCAGAAAGACTCTTGGGTAGCTCTCTGGAGGACAGAAGGCGCAGGCCACATATGGGAGCCAGGAGCAGCCAGGCAGACGCTCCCAATACTCCAGGGACAGATCAAAGTATGACAGAGTAGCGAGCTTGAACACAGGAGCCACCAAGCACACAGCTTCAGCCTCCTGAATGCTGGGGTGACAGGCACGCCCCAGCGAGCCTGGCTTCATTTTGGTTTCTCTGCTTGACAAGAGTCTCATGCATCCCGGGTTGGCCTCTAACTTGCTATAGAGCTCAATTATTCCTTGAGCGCCTGAACCCCCATCTCTCGGTCTCTCTGGTATAGTTTTAAAGGGGGAAGTAAGTGGTGGTTGGTGGTGTGCTAAGGTCCGCGACTCATCCATGCCCCTCTCAAGCTTCAGACCGCAAAGCCATCTGAGAGGAGGAAGGACATCGGGTGGGCACCTCCACCAGCACCCTGTGCCAGGACCCTGGTGCCAAGCACACAGCAGGTTCTGGACAGCTAATTCCAGAACCAGTTGGCCTCTGAGGAGGTCGACATGTTCTGGGGGGCCACGTACTAGAGGTTCCTTCACAGGGTCAGGGCTGAGGGGGGAGGGGACTGCGGCAGCAGCCAGGTTTAGCATCTCAAGTATTCCAAAACATTCTAGCATCAGCCCGGGTGCAAAAGCACTCCAGGTGTCCCGAGATGGAAACATTGAGTGAGCGGTTGTCATGGGGGTGGGGTGGGGGAGTGTTCTAGTTCCATTTCCAGCGCTGTGGACAACACAGAAAACGAAGGGCTATATGACTTACAGTTTCGAGTCACCGTCCATCCTTTCGGGGACGTCAAGGCAGCTGGCTATACACATCATGATGTCCACAGTCAGGAGCCGAGAGAAACAGACACGCCCACGCTGCCTGCTGGCTCATGCTTGGCTGGCTTTCTTCACTCCTAACACAGGTCAGGGCCCAGCCTAGGGAATGGTGCCGCCCACATAAAGGCGGGTCTTCCCATGTCAATCAACCATCAAGGCAACGACCCACACACGTGCCCACAGGCCAGCTGGATCCATGCAATCCATCTCTGAAACTTTCTTTTTTTTTTTTTCTTTTTGGTTTTTCGAGACAGGGTTTCTCTGTGTAGCTTTGCGCTTGTCCTGGATCTCACTCTGTAGACCAGGCTGGCCTCGAACTCACAAAGATCCGCCTGCCTCTGCCTCCCGAGTGCCACCACCGCCCGGCTCTGAAACTTTCTTCTAGCGTGACTCTACTTTGTGAAGTTGACAGTCACAATTAGCCAGCATGGGGGGGGGGGGGGGCTTCCCAGAGAAGTTAGTATGGCTCGGATAGATGAAAGTGAGGCCTGGATGAGGCAGGAGAATGACCAGGGGTGACACACACACTCCATTGGCAGTGTAGGATGTAGCTCCAAGGAAGTAGGAGCCACAGGACCCCGAAGGGCCTGCAGGTGTGAGAGCTGTATGTCAGCCCTCGTGGGTGCCACAGAATATCGCTGGCCAGACAGCTCCGGACCGTCACAGACACATGGCTTCCTCTTCAAACAAATTTAATTCTTGAAGCCAGGTGTGGCTCATGCCTCTAATCCCAGCATTCGGGGACAGAGGCAGGTGCATCTCTGTAAATTTGAGGCCAGCCAGCCCAGTCTACGTAGCAAGTTCCAAGAAGCCAAAGCTAGATAGAGAGACCCTGTCTCGAAAATCCAAAAGTTTTTTTTTTAAATTATTTTTCTTGTTTTTAAAGCAAATGTCTTTAGAAATAGAGAATGGGCCGGGCGGTGATGGTGGTGCATGCCTTTAATCCCAGTACTCGGGAGGCAGAGGCAGGCGGGTTTCTGTGAGTTCGAGGCCAGCCTGGCCTCCAAAGCGAGTTCCAGGAAAGGCGCAAAGCTACACAGAGAAACCCTGTCTCGAAAAACCAAAAAAAAAAAAAAAAAAAAAAAAAACAGCAAACAAACAAAAAAAGAAATAGAGAATGGTAGCAGACACCTGAACCCCAGCTCTGGGGAGGAGGTTGAGGCAGGACTGCCTAGGGTTCAAGACCAGCTTGGGCTACACAGTGTACACACACACACGCGCGCGCGCTGCGCGCGCGCGCGCGCGAGAGAGAGAGAGAGAGAGAGAGAGAGAGAGAGAGAGAGAGAGAGAGAGAGAGAGAGACAGAGACAGAGACAGAGAGACAGAGAGAGCAAGCAAAACAAACCAAAAAGGAGCCAGCAGGGGGCGCTGTGAGTGACCACCTCTCCCAGATCTGGACCTCAAGGACCACCTGTGGCCTTGGGGCTTCCCCAGAGCATAGGCCTCTTCCTCAATGCCCCCCCCTTCCCCCGTGGGGGAACCTTCCCACGTTAGTTCCCAGAATGCTGCAGATTGGGCAACCAGCTTTTGCAAGCGGGTTATTTCCATTCCCCAGCTTTCTATAAATGTGGAGAGAGATTGGTGGGCGTGTCAGCCTGCTGGGTAGAAATACCCTGGATGACTGACAGCTGGCCACTGATGGCATCGATCCCCGCACACGGCTCGGCAGGGGAGGAGTCCCCGAAGCCAACTGGACAGGCTCCCCGCTGCGTGGTTCCTTCTGAGAATGTTTTGGAACAAGCGAAGCTAGCCAGCTGCCAAATGCTACGTGCTGAGAGGAAGGTCACAATAAAGGGGGGGGGGGGGTGTGTGGCACCGGGGACGTGGGGTCTGAACCCCAAGTTTTGCTTTTTTTTTTTGAGACAGAATCCAGCTATGTAGTCCTAGCTGGCCTGGAGCTTGCTGTTGGCCTCGAACTCACAGAGATCCATGTGCCTCTGTCTCCTGAGTGCTGGGATAAAAGGCATGTGCCACCGCATTGGCCTCCTCTTTTTTTTTTTTTTCTTTTTTCTTTTGTAAGACAGAGTCTTATGTATAGCCCAGGCTGGTCTTGAACTTATGTAGCTGAGGATGATGACCTTGAACGTCTGATCCTCCTGTCTCTACCTCCCAGTCCTGGGAGGATTCCTTGAGCCCGGAAGTGCGTGACCAACCTGAGAAGCACAGAGAGGCTGGCTATTCCCCGTCACAGAAATTATAAATCTGTGATACGGTGGGGCATGCCTGTCACCCCAGCATTTGGGAGGCAGAGGCAGGGGGATGGTGAATTCTAGCTCAGGTTGGCCTTGTAAAGCTAGACCCTGTCTTAAAAAAACAAAAATAAGCCGGGCGGTGGTGGCGCACACCTTTAATCCCAGCACTCGGGAGGCATAGCCAGGTGGATCTCTGTGAGTTCGAGGCCAGCCTGGTATACAGAGCGAGATCCAGGACAGGCACCAAAACTACACAGAGAAACCCTGTCCTGAAAAAAACAAACAAACAAAAAAAAACAAAAAAAAACAAAAAACCCCAAAAAAACAAAAACCAAACTTAGACCCTTCCTCCCAACCCTTCCCCCAGCCCCTCGAAGGTCACGTGGGTGACAAGGACGCTCTGGCCCCGGGGGGTGCTACTGTAGGAAGACCCAGAGGGCTCCACAGGACAGAGAAAGGACACAGGCAGCCAGGTGCTGGTGCATCCGAGCCATGTACCACACCAGGCTTGAAGTGGAAAAATGGCTAGAGGCTGGTGCGGGCCTGACACCAGGAGACATGCTTGGCAGCCATGGGGAACACATCCTGAACAAGTGATGTGGCCTGGACCCCGGAGCCCCAGCCCCGCCCTGCCCAGCAGACAGTCACAGAAGGCAGCGTTGAATTTGTGAAAAGGTTTTATTGTTTCAATCATGAGTTTCATTCAAAAGATGATAAAATTTCTCTTCCAGTAGAAAAAGGGGCAGTTGCGGGGTGCTGGGCCTCCTTGTCCCCCATCTTCCGGGGAGGTACACCAGGGGACCAGGGGACCAGGTGCCAGGCCGTCTAAGGCCCACACCTCTCTACTTTTGACACTATACCTGAAAACTAAGGACCCTGAGGGGCCTGCCACCTTGGCCACTGTAAGTGGCCAAATTCAGTGTTTAGGTGACATAGCAGGAGACTAGAGGAAGAGGGCCAGACACAGCTCCCGAGTGTGTGTGTGCACACCCATCAGGACCTGGAACTGCTTGCCTGGCCTTGGCACAAGAGGCCGATGCACGCCCAGCCCCTAGGAGTGACAGTTCTGTCTTCCATGGGGACTGAGGCTTTCAGCCTGATGATGGAAGACAAAGGGGAGCATGAAGTCTGAGGGCCCTGGGCAGAGCCAGCGCCCCACAGGAGGGGCCGGTGGCGGTCGGGTCACAGCAGTCCCCACGGCCTGGCTCACAGGCCACTTGGAAGAGAGTGCCTGTGGTCCGGCAGGCGCCCTCCGCGGCAGGTCTGTCCTTGGTCCCTGAGTGTTTCTGCACACGCCTGGGCACACGCGTGCTGTGCGGACAGGTGTGACCTCTGGGGGCTCAGGCCGTGGCACTGGCAGGCTGTCCGCCGCTGAGGGAGTCCTCAAGAAGCGGGGTGTAGGGACTGGGTGGCTGGTCTGACCAAGCTATCAGGTTTGGGGGGCTCACGGCGTCTTTGGGACCCTGTGGAGAAAGAAGAAGCTGAGTCACCAGATTGTCACCCAGCCCTGCCCTGCCTATCCCCGGTTCCCACCCCACATTCCACCAGCATGGACCCCACTTCCTCCCCATCACAACGCTGTCTGCCATGAACTGAGAGATGGGGAAACTGAGGCCAGAGAGGCTGGCAGGATACAGTGAGGAGGGCAGTGCGGGAGTCCAGAGTGGGTGTATAACACCGTTGCACAGGGAAACTAAAAATGGCCTAAATGTCTGTCCACAGGAATCCATGTTTAAAACAGGGTCACACGACAGGCCAGGATCAGCTGTTAAAAACGGCTCTTGTTCGTGGACGTGAGAGACACCTTCCCAGCAGATCCCTGTGATGGTGGCCTCTGGGCCTTAGGGACAGTAGGCTATGGAGAAAGAGGAGGAAAAGATGCCGTAGATGTTGAAAAGATTTCCCAGCTTAGGAAAATGGTAAGAATACTGGGCATCTATCCCTACTCTGCAGCCCCATCCCTCCTCCCCTAGCATACATTTTTTTGTTTTTATGGTTTTTTTTTTTTTGTTTTTTTTTTTTTTTTAAAGATTTACTTATTATGTATACAGTGTTCTGTCTGCACATATCCCTGCAGGCCAGAAGAGGGCGCCAGATCTCATTACAGATGGTTGTGAGCCACCATGTGGTTGCTGGGAATTGAACTCAGGACCTTTGGAAGAACAAGCAGTGCTCTTAACCTCTGAGCCATCTCTCCAGCCCTTTTTTTGGTTTTTTGAGACAGAGTTTCTCTGTATAGTTTTGGTGGCTGTCCATGATCTTGATCTGTAGACCAGGCTGGCCTCAAACTCACAGAGATCTGATATATATGTGTGTGTGTATATATATATATATATCGGCTTTTCAAGACAGGGTTTCTCTGTGTAGCTTTGCGCCTTTCGTGGAGCTCTGTAGACCAGGCTGGCCTCGAACTCAGAGATGCGCCTGGCTCTGCCTCCCAAGTGCTGGGATCAAAGGCGTGCGCCACCACTGCCCAGCCTCCCTCCTCCCCTAGAACAGAGAGACACTGTCACCCCCATATCCTGGCCCTGCTGCACCCCGCAGCAGGGAAGGAAACTGCAGGGCAGACAGAAAGAGGCCTGCGGGTGGGGGAGCATCCTCTCCCTGGACCAAAGCCAGTCTCCCGCCACCATAAGCCACAGCAGCCCAGCATGTGAGAAAGTCTCAGTGGGAAGTAAAAACGGGGGTGCTGGGGGTGAAGCTCAGAGGTTGAACACTCAGTAAAAGGCCCTGGCTTCAGTCTCCAGCACCACAGACAGGCAGAGACAGACAGACAGAATCCAAAGTAAAAGGAGGACACAAGGCATAGCGGTGGTGGGGGCTTGGAATCTCAGTACTCGGGAGACTGAGGCAGGAGGATTGCCACAAGTTCCAAGTCCGAGGGACCCAGCAGCATGCCCTTGCTGCCAGTAAACAAGTAAAACAAGAGTTGACTGTAGCTTGGTCTTTCCCAAGAAAAGCACATGTAACAAATCTACAAGGCACTGGACAGCCAGGGGAACCAGGGCAGCCAGGGGAACCAGGGCAGCCAGGGGAACCAGAATGCCCCTCGCTTGCCCCTCCCCCATCACAGTGTTTGACAGAGATTAAATTGAGAATGGGAGACAGACCAATGAGAAAGAGAGGTTCGGAGCACTTCCCTAAAGGCCACACTCTGTACCCTTGTCTGTTCCCAGCACCTGGCCACACAGCCAACCCCCTTGCTTCACAACAACGCCCATCCGCCCGGGGGTGGTGGGGGGGAGCGTCTTTTTTGATTCATATAATAATACCCTTTGGGCTAGCAGTGGCCCTGTTTTCCTTCTCTTTCAGCAACGGCAGGCACCCGTAGGGGCCACCCCCACACCCCAGGTGCAAGGCGAAGTGTGGGGCCTCACCAAGTCTTAAACTTAGCCAGCCAGTGAGGCTGGGGAACCTCCTCTGCAAGGACCCACGTGTCTACCCCCGCATGCAGAAGCTGGTCTTTGGAAGACACTCCCTTCCCTAGCACATGGCCAGGGTGGTGGTGGTGGTGGGGGCGTGGGGCGCGGGGCACGGTGAGGGGGGTGTCCCCTGGAGTAGGGATTCAAGCCATTCTCCATAGCCCAGGGGAATCTGCAAACAAAGTCTAGACCAGGTTGGGAAAATAAAGACGAAACCCCGATTTCATTCATTTCTTTGCGGTCTGAACAGGGTCGAGGCTGAGTGGCTACGGGCTCCATCTGGGGCTAAGATGAGTACCCAATCTCTGCTTGGAGTCTGCATTTGTTCGGTGGGAGTCCCCTATTTCCCACCCACGACGCCTTACCTACCCTCTGGCAATACCAAACATCACCTGCAGAGGGCGCCATGGATGGAAGGCAGCAGGACTCAGGGCCTCACCTTTACCCCTCCTGGAAGCCCCACCCGACCAGGATCTTTCCTCAGCTCTAGGGACACATGAGACCCACGGAGCTGTAGAGGCCCAGTCAGCTGGGCCTGCCCTCCTTCCTGTTCTGGGGAGGTGGCACCTCCCAGGACAATCACATACCCACCAGAGTTCTCTGTTTTATTTTCTTCTCTGACTCAGCTGACACTGTTGGAAGTAGCCAGCCGGCCCCCAAGAAGCCCAGGAGCCGAGAGCCGTGGCCTCCACCCTTCTAGCTCCCTCCAAGGAAGTGTTCACACCCAAGTTGGCTTAAAGGCTAAAATAGCAGCGTCTATTGGGACACAACTCACTTCTGCTAACCTCAAATTGCAGGGCCCATCGCTCTTCCTGTCACTTCTCAGGCAGGGGCACACCCTGGAGGGCTCGGCCTCTCCTTAGCCCTGAATGCTACGGGACCTGGAGATCTTGGGGGAAGTGCTGTCCTGGCTCCCGGCAAGACAGGATGTCAGCCATACCTGCTTTGGTGGTGAACCACTGGGAAGACCCATCCCAGCACTGCACAGGGCAGATACTTCCTGGTCTAGATTCAGACTGTATCGAGTAGTCTGTTATGTGCTCAGGCCCGCCTATACAGCTGGCACTCAACCAATGCTCAAATTACTTATAGTCACTTATTCCAGACTGGAGCCGGTGCGCCTTCTACACCAAAATATCCTTCCTTTGAGGTCCAGCAAAACACAAGTTTCAAACCCGTGGGGCTGCAGGAGTCTCTGGGTTTTCCAGGATGCCCAGGGACCCGCATTTAGCAAACTGCATGGGACGGAGCGCTGAGAAGCAACGGGTCTGCCTTTCAGCTTCTCACAGGACCTTGTAAATGAGAGGTCCACCCAACTGAAGGTCCAAGAAACCCAGGCAAGATGGGACCCACCGTGATGATGGCAGGAGGATGCTCTCCGTGTGGATGATGCCCAGGCAGATGCTATGTATGGGCGGCGGAGAGTGTCGAACAGGTCTACTGGCTACAGGCGAGATGGGGGTGGGGGGGGGAGGGGTTACCTGGTACGCACCTATAGCTTGGCTTCTTGCAGCACCGTGCCCTTGGCAGCTGGTGACATCAGGGACTCAGAGTAGGCCTGAATGGCCTCCTTATCCTGCGAGCCCTTTTTACTAGCACTCCAAAATAAAAAGCATTTCTCCTGGAAGACAACCAAGCTAGTTTATAGTCCGTGCTGTATCCCTGGGGAGTCCCTGGGTTCCCCCAGAAGCGATGGGAAAGAAGAGAACAGGAATCGCAGAGTCCTCCACCCTGCACCACGGGCGAACTGCCCCCCCGGAAGAGGGGCGAGCAGAGCCTCAGAGAGCCACCCTAGCGGAAGTATGGGGAGTGTTTGGGTTTCTCTGGTCTGGTTTGGCGGAGCTGGGCTGGACTTGAAGCCAGGGCCTGGGGCCTGCTAAGCACAATGCCTCACTTAAACCACGTCCTCAAGTCCATGGTGCTTGCAATCAGGGGGAAATATCAACATAATTTTGTTCTCCTTAAGAACGAGGTATGGGTGAGTATGTTGTTTACCAGCCAGCATACAGTTACAAAAAACGACTGAGACAAACAGACACACACACAAGTGAGGCCTAGCCTTGTTAGAGCAAGGCTGGTAGGGTGTGGATTGCTGTTTTGGCCTCTGATGAAACCCCAGCCCCCGAGGGGCAGTGAGAAGCCTTCTATTTCGGGATCCCCCTCTCTTCAATGGTTAACTGGAAGAGGCTGGCCCGGCTCTCACTGGGCAGCAGCAGAGAGGAGCGACACCAGCCTGGAAGCCCATCAGACACTCAAAGCTACTGCCAACGTGGAGAGCCAGAGGCTCCCAGATGCCCCTTTGAGATGACATGAGACCCGGGGGTGGGGGTGGGGGGGCAGTGCTTGGACAGGGAAGTGGGGTACTGGTGAGTTGAGAGGGATGTGTTCTTCCCACAGCAAGCAAGCAAGCAAGCAAGCAAGGATGCCTTCAGAGAGAAAACCAGCCGACTGACTGGGACGGGAGGGCAGGAGTGAAGGTCCCCCCACCAAGCACACCGGACAGAAAGTTGGGCCTGTAGCCCCAGGACGTCTCAGGTGGGGCCCTGAGGGTGGCCACTGACTCCCTGCCTGCAGACAGCCACCCTCCCCCATCACAGCTGCTCATCACCCTGTCCACAACTACCCCAGCCTCATCGTAACTACAGATACCAGCACCACGTGAGGGGACTTGACCCTGAATTTCAAGTGGTATGTTTTGTTCGTTTTTTGTAACCTCAAGATCTACAGGCATGGCCTTGAGGAAAAAAAAAAAATTCTCACGAGTGGATGGATGGCCCTAAATAAGGCCAGAAGGGAACTAAAGTTCTAGTCACCTCCCTTTTTGCTTCCTGCTTTTAACGGCTGCATGCCCCAGGGTTAGATTTTTCATTCATTTTTGCTTCCTCCCTTACATAAGTCACCCCCACCCAGGTCTGAACCACACTATTCCCTTTTATTTTATTTTCTGAGACAAAGGTTTCACGGAGCCCAGGCTGGCCTCAAACTTTACAATGTAGTCAAGGGTGACTTTGAATTTCCGATCCTCCAGGATGCTGGGATTACAGGCCTGAGCCACCACACCTGGTGAGAAATGGTCACCAGATTTCAAAGATTAAACCTGGAAAAGAATTGAGGGCACCTTCCCATCTTTTAGGTTGACTGCATGCCTTCTCTGCTTTTTAAATATTTATTTTATATCTGTGCGCATATTTTGCCTGCATGTCTATACACCAATTGCGTGTGTGTGTGTGCGTGCGTACCCGTTAGATCCCCTGGAACTAGGGTTACAGACAGATGGTGGTGAGCCACCATGTGAGTGCTGGGAATGAAATCTGGGTCCTCTGCAAGCATTAAGTGCTGGCAACCACTGTCTCTCCAGATCTCTTTTCTTTCTTTCTCTCTCCCTCTCTCTCTTGATCTTTTTTATCACTTTTGATGGCAGGTTTTGCTGTCAGTGTTGAGGACTGAATGCAGGGCTATTTGCTAAATGTATGTTTGAATGCATTTGCTAAACATTTTAAACGCATTTGCTATTTGCCAAATGCATGTTTGAATGCATTTGCTGAATCCATTTGCTAAACAAGCGCTCTATTGCTGAGTTAACCCTCAAGCCCATATTTTGATATATTTGGGTTTCAAAAAAAATTTATAACTAAATTCACTTTTTTCTCCTGAGTTAGAACATTTAAGTTCAAGAGCCCACATGTGGCTCCTCCCATTTCCACCTCACACCCGGCTCTGGCCCATCCCATTTTCTGTTATCTTTTACCTTGGGTAAATTATTTTTCCTGTTTCTGAAAAACCTGGCTTTTTCATTTGCTTCGCTGACCAGGCCAGACCCCAGCCTCCCATCTTCACCTCCTCCAGGCGCTTCACAGAGTCTGCACCAAGTGGTACCCACTTGCTGGTTAAATGACTACTGAGTACTTCTCTCAGCCCAGCACCCACTGGGGAGTGTCCCGGGCCTTCCAGGGCAGGTAGAAGAGTCGAGCAGGATGCGAGAGGGTGCAGAAGGAGACCTGGCTGCGGGAGACAGACGTCCGCTCCAATCCGAGCGGAGTCCGGCCGCCCCGCCTACTTACCTGGCTGCGCAACTGGTAGATGATGGGCACCAGCAGCAGGAGGCCGCCCAGCCCCAGCAGCACATACTGCGCATAGTGGAGCACCTGGGGCACCAGCACCAGCTGCGTGTAGAACGTGCTCAGGGGCTCGCCGCCCATGGCCCCGCTCTGCAGAAGGACAGACGGGCAGGTGAGGAGGGCCGGATTGCACACTGCATCCCCCGGAACCCTTCCTTGCGTCTCACCCCTCCCAAACCCAGACCAGAGAGCCCCAGGGCGCGTTTGCTACGAAGTCCAAGGAGAACTACATTTCCCAGATGCCCTTGCTGTTGGCAGGACAACGTGATGAGGCATTGGCCAATGGGAGGTGGATCTGACCCAAAAGGCCCACCTCGTAAGACCGTCATCTTTTTCACTGGTTAGAACCTAGTCTTAGGACCTGAAGGGTCACGAGAAAGATCAGGTGGCCTGGTGCTGATCTCCACCTCCCGCGCACCGCCTCAGACAAAGAGGAAGTGAACCTGACTCTCGGGAGCCATTAGCAAACCCTGTAGATGGCTGCTCAGTGGTCAAAAGCTCTGGCTGCTCTTCCAGAGAACCCAGGTTCTCCTCCCAGCACCCACTTGGTGGCCCACAGCCATCTGCAATTCCAGTTCCAGGGGATCTGATGCTCTCTTACATACATGCGGGCAAAACATCCATGCGAATAACTAAATTGAGGTACCGGAAATTAAGCTAACATTAGCATCAAGGTGAAATAAGATCAATAAGCGAGGCCCGCACCCCTCTCCACCTGCCTCAGATACACGCAGACTCCCCACCCGGACCGCCTCCTGCCGCCCTTGGGGCCTCGCCTCACCTGCTCAAACCACAGCAGCGGCAGGACCACCGGCTCGATCTTCCCTGTTTGCCTAGAAACATGGGGACACAAAGTGAGTGACCGAAGGTGACCTGGAGAATGGAAGCTATGTTAGGGGCTGGGGGTGTTGTGTGGCTCAGTAGAGCTTTTGGTTATCTTGTGCAAGGCCTTGGTCATACGTCATCACAAGAAAGACGTATGGAGATCTTGGAAGGCAAGTTTGACTACAGTTTGACTATCTGTAGCCAAGTTCGAGGACAGCCTGGGCTACATAAAACCCTGAATCAATAATAATAATAATAATAATAATAATAATAATAATAATAACAACAACAATAATAACAATAATAATAATAATAATAATAATAATAATAATAATAATAATACATTAAGGGGAGTAGCATGCCTCACCAGGTAATGGTGTTTGCTGCTAAACCTGATGACCCGAGTTCCATCCTCAGGACCCACAAGGTGGAAGGAGGGAACAGGTTTCCGAAAGTTGTCCTTACCTTCACATGTGCATTCTGGCATGCACCTGCCCCCCAGCCCCCTCCCACTCCACTACATAAATACATTAAAAAATAAACAATAACAATGAGTCTCATCCCACGGAAGCCGGGGTGGCTGCATTTACGGCTGTCTACAGCCGAACCTGATCCCACGGCACAGGTCTAGATCCCGCAGGTACTTTACCGTACCCCTGAGGCTAGAGGAGAAACTGGGGCAGTGCTGGAGGACGGTGCAGTGGGCAGAGCGTTTGCTACTCAAGCATATGCACCTGGGGTCAGAGCCCAGAGCCCAGATCAAAGGCTGTGTGTGTGGCTTTGAACCTCAGACCCCAGGGCTGAGAGGGCTAGAGGCCAGGGCTGGGGCTTCAACGAGAAAACCCTGTCTCAAGGGAAGAAAGTGGAGTGTGACAGAGCAGGGCATGCAGCATCCTTTTCTGGCTGCTGCACACTTGCACATAAGTGTGCATGGAACACACACGTGCGCGCGCGCGCGCGCACACACACACACACACACACACACACACACACACACACACACAGAAGGAGCTGGGAGGCCTGAGCAGACTACATCCTGAAGCTGAAGCCCATGGTTCAGGGGTTGTAACCATAACACCTCTCTAGACTTTGGTTCTGTACTGTGCCAGCTACTGCCAGCAGGTGACGGTGAGGAGGGTCCGGGGGAGAGGGGACAGGGGACAGAGATCTCCATTTCCGCCGCGGCTCCATAAATCTACAAAGATTCTAAGGAGTATTTTAGGCAGTGCAACCAATCAATGTTTGGAAGCCAGCTTCAGGAGCCGGCCCACTTTGGCCTTCAGTTTCAAGAGCCTGGGCAAGCCAGATAGAGTGGTGCAGGCAGGTCTAAGTTCGAGGCCATGACGGGTTATAGAATGAGTTCGAGGGCAGCCTGGGCAATTTAGTGAGACCCTGTGTCAAAATAAAAAGTGGAAAGAGAGCTGGGGGTATAATTCAGTGAAAGCGCTTTTCCAGAAACCAGGAGGTCGTGTGTGTGTGTGTGTGTGTGTGTGTGTGTGTGTGTGTGTGTGTGTGTGTGTGTGTATACGTACAGGAGCCTAGCTGAGTCAGGTGCTTCCTGGCCTCAGTTTCCCCTACAGAAGGTCAGGGCCAGGCTCTTGAGTATGAGACCTATAGGCCCTGCTGGCGTCCACTCAAGCCACGAAGCCCAGAGCCCATCTCTTCCTCAATCACATCCTTCTAAGTGGTTCCCAGGCATTCGATCCATGACACTGGGGAGTGATCAGCCCCAAGGCTGGACCCCCATTACCAAGTTTCTGCCTGGCAAACATGGAATGGGGCAGGAGCCCTTGAAGTCTCACTCTGTGTACATAACTAAAGTAAATCCAGGGAATGATGGTTAAGAGCACTGGCTGCTCTTCCAGAGGACCCAGGTTCAATTCTCAGCACCCACACAGTGGCTTACAACTGTCTGCAACTCCAGTCCCCTGGGATCCCATGCCTTTTTCTGGCCTCTGTGGGCACTGCACTTACATGGTGCACAGACATGCTAGCAGGCAATCTATGCTATTGCAGTCTATTCTATTCCAGAAGAGGGAGGGAGACAGTTTGGATTGACCAATCTGACTGATGGGAGAAGAGATCTTTTTTGTTGTTGTTTTTTGGTTTTTCGAGACAGGGTTTCTCTGTGTAGCTTTGGAGCCTGTCCTGGAACTCACTCTGTAGCCCAGGCTGGGCTCATACTCACAGAGGTCTGCCTGACTCTGCCTCCCGAGTGCTGGGATTAAAGGCATGCACCACCACCGCCCGGCATTATTGTTATTATTTTTTTCTTTTTGTGTGTATGTGCATTGCTGTTTTGCCTGCATGTATGCCTGTGTGAGGGTGTCAGATCCTCTGGAACTGGAGCTACAGACAGTTGTGAGCTGCCAGGTGGGTGCTGGGAATTGAACCCGGGACCTCTGGAAGAGCAGTCAGTGCTCTTAGCCACTGAACCTGACAGGAGAAGAGATCTTAGGAAAGGGGAATGAAGGAGTGTCAGGGTGCAGGCTGGGTCTCCATCCAGAGCAAAGATGCCTTCATAGGAAAGACAGAAGTGGATGAATCTTTGCCTTGTCCCATGCCTTGCATCCACCAATGCATGAAGCCTCCTGGTCCCAGATGCCTTCAGAATCTGCAACCCCACCCTACTTACCCAATGCCCTTGACAGACTTGATGTAGAGGCTCAGCTGTAACTTCACAGAACAGTTCATGGGGATCCCAGTGACCTGGAGCAGAAAACAGTGAGGAGAGCTATAAGACCATGGAGACCATGGGGCTGGAGGGATGGCTCAGTGGTTAAGAGCACTGGCTGCTCTTCCAGAGGTCCTGAGTTCAATTCCCAGCAACCACACGGTGGTTTACAACCATCTATAATGAGATCTGCTGCCCTCTTCTGGCATGTGTATACATAATAAATAAATCTTTAAAAAGAAGAGAAAGAGGAAAAAGAAAGAAAAGCAAAAAAAAAAAATAATAAAGAAGAGGAGGAGGAGGAGGAGGAGGAAGACCATGGAGGCCAGCTCCCAGCCTGCTCCAGCCCTGGGGCCCTGAGGGGCTTCTCACCCACCTGAGCCAGGCAAGAGGTGACACCCTTCTAGAAACTCGCCCCCCATACATTAGGCTCTCCCTCAGCAAATACATGCTTGCCAAAGGGATCAGACACTGGCCATCTCAAGGTCCCCTCTGCAGAGCCACTTGTCACCAGAGGGGCGATCTCCATCTGGGTTTTTGTTCTTGTTTTTATTTGGTTTGGTTTTTCAAGACAGGGTTTCTCTGTCTTGGAACTTAGCTCTGGCTGTCCTGGAACTTGCTCTGTAGACCAGGCTGGTCTCGAACTCACAGAGATCCACCTGCCTCTGCCTCCCGAGTGCTGGGATTAAAGGTTTGTGCCACCACTGCCCGGCTTGTTTTGTTTTGAGACAGAATTTCATGAGGCCCAGGCTGGACTCCAGCTTGCTACATAACCAAGGCTGATCTTGAACTCCTAATCTCCCTGCCTCTGTCTTCTGAGGGCTGGCTCATTCCTAACTGCACGGTGCTGGGATGGAACCCAGGGCTCTGTGCCTGCTAGGCAAGCGCTGGACCTACTAAGCTATATCCCCAGCCCTCACACAGCTCCCTCAGACAGTGCCTTCCGAGTGTGGGGCATGTGCAGTAAGGATGGCTTTTTCGATCTGTTTACAACATTCCCACTGGCTCAGGAAGCTTAGTGCAGAGCCTGATCCAGGGTGAGTAGGTTTAATTACACAGCAGCTTGTAGCCATTTTTTCCTTTAGTCCTAACAATGCAGGGTCCCGTAATTCCCTAGCAGAGGTGGCAGCAGAAAGCCTCCTGCATGTGGCTCTATTTTTAAAATGAGATGCTTAAAAAAAAACAATAACAATAATAATCACTAGGGGAACTGACACTCACGTCATTTAAATCAGGGAGAAAGTTCTAGAAGGAAATGAGAGAAGATTGGTGAAAAGAGACCTCCAGGATTGGGACTGGGGGGCTCTGTGCTGACTGTTTGCTGAGAAGGCGGTGAGCCCTGCCCAGGTCATGTGACTCTTGCAAGGGATGATGGAACCAGAAGGTCACCTCTCGGATCATAACCACTCACAGTAGAGGTCAAGGCCTTTCCTCTGAGCCCAGCGCACCCAGGTACCCAGGTCCCTCCTGTTCCCAGGGCAAAGGCCTCCAGAAACTGGATATGACTTTCAGACAGAGGTGTGGGGATCATAACTGTGCATACAGCTCCATTGTGGGTGGCCACGTGACCCTCCTCAGGAAATCTGCCAGGGTAAATGCCCAGTGTCAGTCTTGGAACCTGAGTTCCAGGGGTCCCCCACTCCCCAAGCTAGGGTGTTGGTCTCACTGTGCCACACCATTTGCATAAACTAGACAGTTAATACTGGCTACCTGTGTCCTCTGGGAGTCTGGAGCATGGATCTGCCCCAAGGAGAGGGGCCCACGGGACAGGTCCCCAGTCAACCCCCAGGCCCCTAACCTGAAGGGCTTTCCTGACATAAAATACTTCATATACATCAGGTTTCTTGCTGGGGAGTTAGGCACAACCTAGGGAAGGCATCAGACAACTTCCTCCCATGTGCCCAATTCGGCTTCTCATCCTTCCTCTGCAGTAACCCTCGGCTGTGAGCCAGGTGTGACTATGCACTTGGAAACTGAGGCAGGAGGACTGTAAGTTCGAGGCCAGCTGGAGGCACAGCTCAGAACCAGAGCGCCTGTCGTGTGTGAGAGGCCCAGGCTTCTATCCCCACCCAGTAAAACAAAAAGGTCTTCACAAAATACCTTCAGGGAGTCATGGGTGTTCATGCAGGATAGGAGCCTCGAGAGTCCCCAAGTTAATGGTAAGGACACCAGCCTGACTGGATACATCTTACAGTGACCAGAGGCAGAGAAGAGGGCAGGGCTGTCATCCCAGAATGGGCCTGTGTCTGAGTGTCACCTTCCTGGCCCTGGCTGGTGGACACAAGTTAACACGGGACAAATTCCCCACACAGGTTCCCCCGTGAGACACTGTGGCCCACACGGATGTCTCGAAATCTTTAGAGTCTTGACACTGTCAAGGCTATCTCTAGTGCAGGAGACGTCCCAGCTGATATTTCTTAATTAATTTACCACCATATATCTTTTTTTATAGGCCCCAATATAAAAAGTAATGACATCACTGAACTATGGAATTGGGGTACGGTAAGACCTTTGATGGCTCGAAGTTCTACAAGCTGCCACTGTGGAAGGAACTGGACTCCCCGGCTCTAGTTGGAGCCAGCTCTGTGCTGGGGGGTGCGGGGGGAACAGCAGTAGCCTGCAGCAACCCATAGGAGCCAGCCCCAGACTCTAGCAGGGCGCATCTTACCGGATGGATGTCTAGGAACAAGGAATGCTCCTTTGGGTCGGGGTTCAGACCCAGGACGGCTTCGGACAGCACGGGGTCCGCGTTGTAGAAATGAGGATGTGACAGAAACAGGGGCGCACCTGGAGGGGGAGGGGGAAGGGCAGTCAGAAGACAAAGGGTTCCACCTTGGCCTGGCTGCGTGCCAGGGGCGCAGGATAAGGACGGAAAGAGACCGACAGTCGGCGGGGCATTAACAAGATGTGGACACATCGGTGACCAGGCAGGGAGCATCCTTCCCTCATTGCGTGAAGAAGCTGGGCACAAGGCACAGGGACGGGGGATGGAGCCAGGTTGGCTGATTCCAGTGGCTGGGGTGGGGTAGGGGGGGTGGAGGGGTGGGGGGGGTGGAGGAGGGGACAGGGCAGCCGCCACCAAGCAAGGGAAAGGCATTTCAGGTAGGAGTGTGGCAGAGGTGAGAGCATGGAGGCTCCCCGGGCCAGAGGAGCAAGAGGGAATCATGGGAGGTGAAGATGGAAAGGAAAACTGGGGCCACACGAATGTGAAAGTGGACGCTGCATCTGAATGCCAAGCTGGGCACACGGGCTGCTTCTGCAGGCATGATAGCTCAGGGGTGCCCATGAGCAGGTCTCTGACATCACAGGAGGAGAGGGGGCCGCCCAGTCAAGAGAGTCCCATCCCGGACCCCCGAGGCAGGACCTTGCCACCAACCAAGTCAAGGGGCGCAACACAGCCGTCTCAGGACAAGGGCCCGATGTGTAAGTTCCTAGCCTTCCTGTGAGGTCACTAGAGGCTCCAGGGCGGCAGAGCTACTGAAGTCAGCTGCACTGCCTTTAGAAGTGGTGTTTCCTAAGCCTCTAAAATTAAAAAAAAGAAAACCGCCGGGCGGTGGTGGCGCACGCCTTTAATCCCAGCACTCGGGAGGCAGAGCCAGGCGGATCTCTGTGAGTTCGAGGCCAGCCTGGACTACAAAGTGAGTTCCAGGAAAGGCGCAAAGCCACACAGAGAAACCCTGTCTCGGAAAACCAAAAAAAAAAAAAAAAGAAAACCTCGGGGCTGGAGAAGCGGCTCAGTGACAAAGAGAACCTGAGTTCGCTTCCTAGCACCAAGTCAGAAGGCTCACAACTGTCTGTAACTCCAGCAGTGTGAGATCTGAAACCTCTGGCCTCTGCAGGGACCTGCTTTCATGTGTACAAACACACACAGAAATAATAATAAAAAAATCACATAACTAAAAATAAAATAAATCTATAAAAACGAAAGGCAGCCAGGTGGTGGCGGCGCACGCCTTTAATCCCAGCACTCGGGAGGCAGAGCCAGGCGGATCTCTGTGAGTTCGAGGCCAGCCTGGGCTACCAAGTGAGTTCCAGGAAAGGCGTAAAGCTACACAGGGAAACCCTGTCTCGAAAAACCAAAAAAAAAAAATTAAATTAAATTAAAAATAAAAACGAAAGGCAGATGCAATAGTATACTCCTTTATTTGGGAGGCAAAGGCAGGTAGGTCTCTGAATTCCATCCCAGTCTAGTCTTCAAAAAGAACCCTCAAACCTCACTCTTCCTGCTGAAGCCCCCAACCCTACTTCTTTATAATTGGTGCTTAGGTGTGGCCTGTGGCCTCGGGTTCACGGTTGCTTTGACTTTGATAGCAGAGCTAAGCATGGGTTGGGAATAGGACCAGGATGTTTTCAGTGTGGGGTTTTGATCTTTTGTGCCATCCCTTGTCTTTTTGGGCTCTCAAATGTCCTTCATTCTATGGTCCCTGTGATTCTCCTCGTGGGATATCCTGAGTCATGACTCAACACAACTTACGGCACTGGCTGCCACAGCCCATCTTCAAGTCCAGATGTCTGACATGTGAGCGCTGTACCTGAACTGCGAGTGGCAGACCACTGCCCCATCCAGGTGTGTGTGGGCAGAGAGGAGCGGAGTGTTGCGAGCTATTTCATTACACCATGTAAAGATATGTCATTGTGATTGGTTTAATAAAAAGCTAAATGGCCAATAGCTAAGCAGGAGGTATGGGCAGGACTTCTGGACCGAGAGAGCTCTGGGAAGAAGAAAGGAGAAGTCACCAGCTGGATGCAGAAGAAGCAGGACATGCGGGAGGAGAGGCAAAAGCCACGAGCCATGTAGTAGCATGTAGATAAATAGAAATAGGTTAATTTAAGTTATAAGAGTTAGTTAGAAACAAGCCTAAGCTAAGGCCGAGCTTTCACAATTAATAAGAAGTCTCCGTGTCCTTATTTGGGAGCTGGCTGGTGGGACAGACAAAGACTTGTTACAGAGGAGAGCAAGAGTCATTGAGAATTCAGGTGAATCCTAGAACATGCGAGGTTCCAGAGAGGCACCTGGTCCTGTCAGAAAGAGACAGTGGACCCTCAGAGGCCTTCAAGCCCTCGTGAAGACAACACCAAAAATAAATCAGAACAGGAAACAGATACCTGGTCAGTCCCTGAGGCCTAATGTCACTTCCATGGACCTTCTAAAGTCACCCCGAGCTTGCCTTCCCTGTCTCCACCTTCCCATCTAATCTGTGAAGGGAGACACCAGCAAACACCAGAACCCCATTTCCATAGGAGGGACATCATGGAACCCGGAGAAATGAAGCTGCCATATAACCAGACCTGGAAGGTACAGATTCCAACCGAGTGTTATGGCTGCCAACACAGCCTGCTGCAGATGGCACACCCATGTGGCCTTCTAACAGCAGGTGTGTTTCATCTTTTTTTTTTTTTTTAACTTTATTTTTTATTTTCAAACACCCTCAGAGAGACGCACCCGGGCAATAAGTATAATTAATTTATAGCTTTATGGCCCGTGTATCCAGACTTAACTGCTCAGGATTACCCCAGTTGTGATTAAGGGGCACTCCAGGAAAGGTCCGAGGCCGTCCCAAGACAGGGAGATGAGACACAGGAGTCCTGAGTCCACGAAGTTCCCGTGACCCAGAAGGGGAAACCTATGTGCATTCTTTATCATCAGATAAAACGCCACAGGAATGTGGACCCAGATGCACCCTCACAGCATGGGCAAGAATGTTCTAGGAGCACCCTCGTGCTTGAAATGCCAAGAGGGAGCTCCATGAGCCAGGAGCTCACCCACCATCTTGCAGACAGAACATAGCAACGTGATTGGGGGCGGGGGACGGCATCAGGGAATGAGGAGAAAGAACACACATCATGACTCCATCCACATAGAGACCGATGCCAGGCGGAGAGCCTAGAGACCAAAAGTCAGGCAGTGGGCCGGAGGAGCTGGGAAACACTGCGTCCCGCGAGGCCCGCCTCTTCGCGGGGTTGTGGTTGGCCAGGTGGCTGAGCTCCCTCTGCAGTTTCCAAATTGCTCCTATCATTTGAGTTCCCCCACCTCCCCTTTCTTGTTCTCCCATTTTAAAAAGGCAAGCTTTAGGAACCCGAGTTCAGGTCCCCAGCACTCACATAGAAAACCAGATGTTGCTGGGCGGTGGTGGCACACGCCTTTGATCCCAGCACTCGGGAGGCAGAGGCAGGCGGATCTCTGTGAGTTCGAGGCCAGCCTGGTCTACAAAGAGAGTTCCGGAAAAGGAGCAAAGCTACACAGAGAAACCCTGTCTCGAAAAACCAAAAAAAAAAGAAAACCAGATGTGGCAGTGCACATCTGTAACCTCAGCACCGTGAGGTGGAGACAGGTGAATCCCTGGAGCTTGCCAGGTCAAGGAATATTGAGAGAATCTGCCTCAAAAAATGACTGAGAGGGTGACTGAGGAAGATACCCAGCTCTGGCCTCCATGCATGTACGTGCCTGCACACACACGCTTGTGCCCACTCCCCTCTTCTCCCCCAAAAATACAAAAGAACAAGCTACAGACACAAGTACACTTAGATTCTCTGGCACATCTGAAATTCTGTCCCTGTCAGTAGAGGGTGTCGGGATGTCGCCGCTGCTCCTGTGGTGTGTGTGACCCAGCCTGGCCAATCAAATACAGCCTCAGTCCAGCTTCAGGGACTGGGTCATAGCTGGACCAACTGGAGCAAGCTCTGGGATCAAGCGCTGAGGGGAAGCAGAGCTAAAGGTTGTGGACACAGCTTCCTGCCCACAGAAAAGTCCCGGATCCCGTGCCTGTGCAGGGCTCTGCCCTGGAAGCTTGAATCCCACTAACCAACAAGTTTCCCCATCAGGCCAGGCACCTGGCACCTGCCACAGATGTCTGATGGCTCCGAGTAGCAGGTGACCTGGTAGGCGCTGTCTTACCAGGGGAACTCCCAGACTAGGCTCCATCATGTCTTCTCTTCTTCTCACCCCTATGGCAGTATCCCCAGAGCTCACTCCTCTAGCTACGAGAGAATGCTTCACCGTTCTCTGAAAGTCAGACCCAGTCAGAGAGAGGCTGTGTCCCACCAACCACCAGACCCGGGTCACCACCCTGCCTCAGGCCTTCTAGTGCCTGTCTCTGCATATTTCAACACGTTGTGAACAACTATCATAAGGCCATACGTTCTAGGAGTGGCGGCGGGGGCGGCGGCGGGAAGGGGGGGGGACAGGGCACAAGGTTTGCAGTCCAGAGAGGGGACAGGCAGGGAAGGGTTAAAGAACATCAGTAGCCATAAGCAGGCAATAGGGAGGCACAAAGAGAATGTACAGAGGATGGCTGGAGGGCCAAAGAAGACGCACGATCAGGAGGGCCTCCGAGAGGCTATGAACAGATGAAGCTTTTGATTTCAATTTGATTCACATCTGGTGCAATATGAGCTGGCAAGGGACCGAGGGGACCACAGTAGCAGACCGGGGAGCAAGCTGGGTAGGAAGAAGAAAGACCGCGTGGGAGGTACCTGGAGCTGCCTAGGCCTGATCACCAGGTGAGGGGTGAGGGGTGCAACATGTCCCTGACACCCAAGTATCCAAATTGAGCAACAGAGGAGGGGCATGGCAGGGTCTGGCACACGATTAGAACTCGCCAGAGCAGACGCCAGAGCAGCCAGCCAGCACCAAGACTTACACCCAACTCGGCCGAAGAGGAGAGTTTTGACACAAGGGCGGAGTTGCCGGATTGATTCTGCCAAGCCCTTGCTCCTCGGCAGGTGAATGGCCCCGGGGGAGGTTCCCACCCACATCCTAGTGGGCAAGGGAGTTACAGCGGCGGGCACCAGGCTAAAGATCGGCTGGCACTCAGATCCTTTAGTGGCTCCCATCCAGTCAGTCTCTGGGGTCCTGAAAACTCTTCAAGAGTTGGGCAGAGGAGGAGATCAGAGAATGCGGTGCTTTGGGGGAATCTGGTTTCAGGGTACATGCCTGCCATCCCGGTACTCAGGAGGCAGAGACGGGAAGGATGCAAGTTAGACGCTAACTTGGGCCATACAGCACTACCTGGTCTCAAACTGGATGCTAGATGGAAAGGAAGGGGCCACGAGCCAAGGAATGTGGTGCCTCCAGAAGCAGGAAGGGGCCGAGGGCTGGCTGACTCCTCTCCCCGTGGCCAAGAACCAGTGCCCACTGTCAGAATCTTAACCTCAGGGCAGGACCCTTCGGACTTCGGAGCGACGGAGCCCGTGGATAACCAGTGCTGGTGGGACATTTATCAGGGTGGCGGTTATCTTTTGCGCTTATCTTTAGCTCCCTATCTCTAGCACTGAGCTCATCAGGGGTGCAGAGACCAGAGATTAATGGGACTGCAAGCTGGCAGCAGATAAGACCCTGGTGCCACCCTCTCACCTCGGCCTGGAGGCGGGGAAGGAACACGGATAGGAACACTTACCAAACCGGCAGGTGCTGACATTCTGAATGCCGGACTCGAGGCACGGGCAGAAGCCCTCATTGGGTGGGTAGACGGAGCCGTTGGCAAACAGAGTTTTGGGGGCCGTGAAGCGATAGATGGGGATGCCTTCAAACACCCCTGAATTCTGGTAGGTGAGCTTCATGGACCTGCAGGGAGGGGGGGGCAGGGTGAGGACTATTCCCTTAGTTCTCTGCTTAGCAGGAGAAGCAGGAGATCAAGGTCATTCTTGGCTACACAGCAAGTTCAAGGCCAGCCTGGGTGATATGAGACCCCGTCTCAAAAGAATCCAAAAAACAAAACAAAGCAAAAACAAAAAAACATTTGGGGCCAAGTTGTTGCACCTATACTGCCCAACTGGTAAATTTTCCCCTTGCTCTCCAAACAATAAAGAAAGCCAGCCAGCATGTGCACGGTGTTCTGCTACACTCTGTGTGGTCAGGCACCTGAGATAGTTTGAAGTTTACAGAGTTCCTGTCCATTTACAATGAAATGCCATTCTCTCTCTCTCTCTCTCTCTCTCTCTCTCTCTCTCTCTCTCTCTCTCACATGGTTTTTCAAGGCAGGGTTTCTCTGTGTGGCCCTGGCTGTCCTGGAACTCGTCTGTAGACCAGGCTGGCCTTGAACTCACAGAGATCCGCCTGCCTCTGCCTCCCGAGTGCTGGGATTAAAGGCGTGCACCACTGCCGGCTGGCGATGTGCTGTCTTGATAGGGACTTGGGCACAGAGGACTGTGGGAACCAGGGCTTTGGGCAATGGTCTCCTGTGAATGCTGAGGAACTCACCATGGCCCCTGCCGTCACTGCCCGCAGTGAGATGCCATCCCTGGCTTCCCTCACCCATCCTGTCTCACTCCACCTGCTAAGGGCCTCGTAGGTGCTGTTCAAACATACCCCCTTCCCACCCCAGGACCTTTGGATCCCACTTCTCCCTCAGCCTGGAATACATACACCAGACGTCAGCTCTCTAGGTCTTCCTTGCTTACCCTCAATCCTCTCTACCCATTCACCGCACGGTCTAACCTCAATCACACTTCCGATTGGAAACAAGGACTGGGTGACCCACTCTGTCCATGGCCAGCACCACACACACACACACACACACACACACACACACACACACACACACAAATAAATAAATGGGCTGGAGAGACGGTTCAATGGTAAAGAACACTTACTGCTCTTCTAGAAGACGTAGGTTCAATTCCCAGCACCCACTTTTTTGGGCAGCTCACAACCACCTATAACACAAGCTCCAGGCGATCTGACGCCCTCTTCTGGCCCCCACAAGCACCTGCACACATGATGCCCACACAGATACACCTAACTAAAAAATCGTAATACATTTTCTAAAATAACCAAGTTCTGCTTTTGAAAGTACCCCATGGGCCATAGGCACCAAGGCACAGACTTTGCCCACCCCATCATGGCTCTGTTCACACCTGGCACAGGGCATCGTTGTCTGTGTTAGCTAGAGAGGCAGAGGGCTCAAAGGTCAGCCCAGTGAGTCCCCAGGCCAAGGTCACCTCCAGCGTGGCCAGAATGGAACATTGGCTAGCGCACAACTTAGGAATGGACTCAGAGGCCCACCATGTCTTCCCAGGCCACAGTCGGGACCCTGGGATGGTGGAGCCCAAGCTACAAGACCCCAGCATGCCTCTGAGGCAGGGGAGTTGGAGATCGGTAGACTGAGAGGGAACTGTGCCCAGCAGTTAAAGGTCCAGATTCCAGGAGACCCCAGCCTTCCGGCTCCACTTCACAGCTCCCCTGAGACCTTGACCTTTTCCTCCCATCACCTCTCAACAGCACCATCATGACTGAGTCCCCAGCAACCACCCACTCACAGCCCTTCTGGGATCTGCAGAAGCCTATGGCACTCAGGAAACTGTCAAGGCAGTCAGGCAACATGTTTGCACTCTTGGACGCCAGCTGGGGGCGCTGTTGAGGGAGGTGGAAGACCCTTCAAGGTGCAAATCCTCATGCAACCGAAATCCAAAATAAATCCTTCCTCCCCGCAAGCCACCTCTGACAAGAAAAACACCTGAGCCAAAGGACACCAAGGGCCAGGCACTTGGAGTGCACACGCCAGGAGCTACCTGAGTGGACCCTAAATCATCTTAGAGGCAGATTCTCCTGTTTAGGAGTAGGGAGTGCCCACGCAAGCGTTACCTGCAGGCCTCAGGGCTGAAGAATTCCAGCGAGGACTCGGGTGTCATGAATGGGGCCCACATCTGCCCAGAAGTCCCGTTGATCATGTTGCACTGTTCCGAATGCCAATAGTTGATCTGTGGGAGGACAGGACAAGATGCAGCCTCGAGGGACAGCCAAGGCCTGCACCTCATATATGCTCCGGTGCAGACATCATCATATCCAACCCCTGGCACAGAACAGGCTGTGTAGACAGAGGATGCAGCCCAGCTTCCTGCTCCCCACAGTGAGGCCTGAACACACAGCATTGTCGGGGACTCAGTTAAGTCATCTGCACAATGGGCGCATTGCCCGCATCTTCCTGTGCCCTCTCCCAGCAGAAGTCAACATACACACCAAGGAACAAGGAAACAAGGAAAGCTGGGACATGCCAGCAGAGCTGTTAGGGTGACAACAGGAGACAACAGAGCCCATCAGAGTGCCTGCCTCTAGTCAGGGAGACTAGGACTCAGAACCAATACTCAAGCCAGTCATGGTGGTGCACACCCTAGATCCCAGCACTTAGGAGGCAGAGGCAGGTGGATCTCTTGTGAGTTCAAGGCCAGCCTGGTCTACATAGTGAGTTCCAGGCTAGCTAGGGCTACACGGTGAGACCCTGTCTGAGAAACAAAAAAGTAAACCATGCACTTTCCATGCATGGGAGAGATCATTCAATCAGGCTTCTTATATTAGAAAGGAGCTGGTTAGCTGGGCGGTGGTGGCACACGCCTTTAGTCCCAGCACTCGGGAGGCAGAGCCAGGTGGATTGTTGTGAGTTGGAGGCCAATCTGGTCTACAGAGCGAGTTCCAGGCCAGCCTGGGCTACAAAGTAAGTTCCAGGATAGCCAGGGCTACACAGGGAAAACTCTGTCTCGAAAAACAAAAACAAACAAAAATTAAGAAGGAAAAGGGTTGCTGCGACAGTGAGATGGTTCAGCAGGTAATGCCTGCCTAGAATCCCCCAGTGAGGGGCTGGGGTGTGGCTCAGTGGTAGAGCACCTGCCTAGAATCCCCAGTGAGGGGCTGGGGTGTGGCTCAGTGTTAGAGCACCTGCCTAGAATCCCCCAGTGAGGGGCTGGGGTGTGGCTCAGTGTTAGAGCACCTGCCTAGAATCCCCCAGTGAGGGGCTGGGGTATGGCTCAATGGTAGAGCATCTGCCTAGAATCCCCCAGTGAGGGGCTGGGGTGTGGCTCAGTGGTAGAGCACCTGCCTAGAATCCCCCAGTGAGGGGCTGGGGTGTGGCTCAGTGGTAGAGCCCCTGCCTAGAATCCCCCAGTGAGGGGCTGGGGTATGGCTCAATGGTAGAGCACCTGCCTAGAATCCCCCAGTGAGGGGCTGGGGTATGGCTCAATGGTAGAGCATCTGCCTAGAATCCCCCAGTGAGGGCCTGGGTGTGTGGCTCAATGGGAGAGCCCCTGCCTAGAATCCCCCAGTGAAGGGCTGGAAGTCGTGGCTCAGTGGTAGCACCCGCACCTAGAATCCCCCAGTGAGGGCCTAAGGGCATGGCTCAATGGTAGAGCCCCTGTAGAGGATGCACAGGGGCTGGGCTCCATCTTCAGCCACTGACAAACATAACAATACAAAAACACAATATACGCAAAGATGTCCTGAACAGAAGAGCCAGCTGCAAAACAGCCACACAGGATTTGTGTGTATTCAAAGAAGGAAGGAAAACACATTTCTCTGGATACACAGAGGCGTGGTGGTTGGTCAACGGCCAGGAAGCTGGGTCCCGCAAACAGTGCTGGGGGTTTCCGGGTGGGCACGGACAAGGTGCTGGGCCTCCATTGTCTTATCTTTATGGGAATGTCTTCCTGTCTGCCTTGTAAACGAAAACTCAGGAACAGAAGAGTGAGGAGTTCCCAGCAGAAGCACTCAAGGGACAGTTCCTGGACCTGGGAGGTCCTCAGGTGACCCCGACGCCCTCTCCAGAGCACTTACCATCCCTTAAGGCTTGTCCCCAATCTAGTCCCTGCTTCCGGGGGTGGGGACTGTCTCCCCTCCTGCTCACCTTGCTGAGCCCGTTCCATTTGTCCACCAGGTGGATCCTGCTGAAGTTCTGGACGCCCGTGAACACAGTGAAGAGCCCAGAGTCTGTGTTGTTCATCTGCAGACAAGGCAGGGAACAGTGCCCTTAGCCCTAGGTTGGGGGCACGAGACCTGGACACAGGCACAAGCCCACCTGTCCTTCAGCTGTGGACAGGTCCCCTCACTGCCGTACTGACTCAGTGATGAGGACAGGACCCAGGGCCTTGCACATGCTGCTGGGCAAGTGCTTGTCCACTGAATCATCCATTACCCCCAGCCCTCTCTTTTTTTTAAACTTCACATTTTGAGACAGGGTCTCACTAAGTTGTCCAGGCTGGTTTTGAACCTGCCATCCTCCTGCCTCATATTCCCACGTACAGAGATGACAAGCCTACTCCATCAGGCCCAGCAGCCAATAAAGAAAAAAAAAGGCATTTAAGTGGGGAGTGGTGGCGCACACCTTTAATCCCAGCACTCGGGAGGCAGAGGCAGGCGGATCTCTGAGTTCAAGGCCAGCCTGGTCTACATAGTGAGTTCTAGGATTGCCAGAGCTACATAAAGAGACCTTGTCTCAAAACAAACAAACAAAAAGAAAGAGAGAAAGAGAGAGAGAGAGAGAGAGAGAGAGAGAGAGAAAGCATTTAATACAAATTCTCCAGGGAAAGAGTGTCATGGAAGGGTCTAGAAGCTCAACGGAAGGGCCAGCAATGGTAGAATGGATCAGAGGTCACAGAAGTAATAGCTGTCAATCTCAGATCAGCTAAGCAGAAAGGCTGGGGAGCAGAGCTTGATGGAGTGTGCTCTGCTCCTGTCTCCTTGCCTGTCTCCTCAGGAGCCCCACTCAGGCCCCCCAACCTCAGCTGTAAGGAAGAGAGAGGGATAGGGGTCTGGGTGGGTGGGTGGGTGGGTGGGTGGGAGGTGGGAAGGGCAGGCGCAGGAACAGGGCTTTACCAAGGGCTCCTGACTGTAAAAGCACTACCATTTGGGCATTCAACATCTTGTTACATGTTCACCCCACAGGATCCTCACCTGGTCACTGGGAGATGCGGTGCCTTATCCATGGTCTGCTCTCCACAAGACTGTATGTATTTCTATTTTATGTGTATGAGTTTTTTTGCCTACATGTTTTATCTGTGCACTACATGCATATAGAGCCAAAGAAAGCCAGAAGAGGGCATCAGATCCCCTGGAATTGGAGCTACAGACGGTTGTGAGCCACCATGTGGGTGTCGGGAATTGAACTAGGGTCTTTTTGAAGAGCAACCAGTCCTTTTAACCGCTGAGCAGTAAATTTCATCTAAGCTCAGTACAACAGGTCCTGGAGGTGTGGGTGACTGGGTCATGCCACTGACCCTCACGGCAAGCCTACCTCATCATCAGATTTCCCTCGAAGAAAGCTGAGCTGGAGCAGGGGTCAGAGATCAGATCTTAGCTCAGGTTACTTAAGGTCAAGATTGAGAATAAGCAGGCACCTCTGAGTCACACTGATGGGACATCTGAGGTATGCTTCTCGAGAACCCAGTCCTCCACCTCCTCCAGCAAAGCCTCCAATTTTCTAAGCTAACCCCCAGTCACACACCCCTTAAACTGGATCAAGCCACCCCTGAACGCAACACTGGTGTTTTCTGTTATATGAGCTGATAATTTCCCGACTTTGCTTAAGCCGGTTTGCGTTAGGGGCTTCCCCCCAACAGCTGGCTTTCACAACTGTTTGTGTGGACGGAAGACACTTACCTCAACAAACAGGCCGAACTTGCCCTTGATGGGGAACATGTCTGGGAAATATTTGTTGATCAAATTCACGAAGGGATCATCATAGCCCCACAGGATCTCACCGACGGTCCGGTTCATAAAGGCACGCTGGCCCAGGGTGGCTAGCCCCAAGGTCATCATCAGCTTCAGGCCTGCAGGCTTGTTCTCCATCATTACTGAGCCACCCTGCAAAGCCAAGGACATGGGGCTAGGGAGATGGATGTGTCTCCCTCCCGCTACCTTCAACCAGGTATCAGGCAAGGAGTTCAGGCCCTCAGTGTGGACCCTTCTCTGGTCCTTGTTGCCAGGGCAATATGTACTTGAGAACATGCAAAGGGTTCAGACTAAGTGAACTCCAAGGCAGTCACAAAGCTCAGGCCTGGCATTCAGAAGCCATCCTCAGCCACTATAACTGTAGAGACACACCTGAGGCCTGGCAGGAGATACTCTGTAGAGCTGGGGCATGCACCCTCAGAACAGTCGAGGCTGTAGCCAAGGATAGGAACAGGCCTGCCAGAGAAGAGGGCCAGCAAAGATCCCGTGCTCTGTTTATAACCAGGATGCGGACCCCACTCTATTATAACAGGAGCCCAGGAACGGAACACATTGAGAAAGTCTCCCCAACCTCCTGCAGCCCCCTCTTCTAGGTTTTTGTAACACAATGTCTCAAGATGTAGTCCAGGCTGATGCAGAACTCAGCATCCTCCTGCCTCAGTCTCTTCATGGGGATTCCACCCCACTTCTCATGTCTCCTCCCCACATGGGAGTCCAGGACATCTGCTCCCTGGGTCAAAGTGACCTGAGTGCAGTTGAGTTTTACAGTTTTTTTTTTTTTTTTTTTTTTTTTTTGGTGTTTCGAGACAGGGTTTCTCTGTGTAGCTTTGCGCCTCTCCTGGAACTCGCTTTGGAGACCAGGCTGGCCTCGAACTCACAGAGATCCACCTGCCTCTGCCTCTGCCTCCCGAGTGCTGGGATTAAGGGCATGCGCTACCACTGCCCGGCAGTTTTTTTTTTCCTTTTTTTTCTTTTTTTTTAAATTTATTTATTTATTTTATGTATATGAATGTTCTATCTGCATGTACAATTTTATGCCAGAAGAGGGTATCAGTTCCCACTACAGGTGGTTGTGAGCCACCACGTGGTTGCTGGGAATTGAACTCAGGACCTCTGGAAGAACAGGCAGTGCCCTTAACCTCTGAGCCATCTCTCCAGCCCGAGTTTTACAGTTTTTGTGTTGGCTTTCCTCTGCAGCATGCATCTGGGTCCAAGGTTTTTCCAAAGGCTGCTCAACCAAAAATCACCTCTGCCTCCTGGGCGATGCATGGCTGAACTTTCCATGAAGTGTATTGTGCTGCCCCCTGCCCCGCCCCCTTACAGGTCTCCTTCAATATCAGTAATCAACACAGGGTTCTTACTATGTTTGTTGGGGGGTGGGGTTGCCATAGCACATGTATGGAGGTCAAAGGACAACTTGTGGGAGTCATGTGGGTCCTGGAGAGGATTCAACTCAGGTCATGAGGGTTACTGGCAGGCATCTTTTACCCACTGACCCAGCCTGCTGGCCCAACACGGATTGTTGTTGTGTTTTCATATCTAAAAAAGGAGTCATGTGCCAGATGTGGTGGCGCACACGTTTAATCCCAGCACTTAAGGCAGAGACAGGCGGATCTCTGTGAGCTCAAAGCCAGCCTGGTCTACAGAGTGAGTTGCAGGACAGCCAGGGCTACACAGTGAGACTCTGTCTCAAGAGAATGATAATGATAATAAACAAACAAACAAATAAATAAAAACAAAAATTCTCCCTCCAGCCCCATCGGTCTTTGGGGACGTCAATGACAATAGACCTGGGGTTGGCAGGCAGGGAAGCTGAGGGGCAAAGCCAGCCAGCACCTAACTGGTGTTTCTGACAATTTCCTATGGCCAGAGGTGGGGATGGGGAATCAAAAGAATCTTCCAAAAAGTATGAAAATCAGACCATGGGCTCCGACCCTGGCCTGGTGAGGCTGGCCCAATTGGTGCCTGGGTCTTCGTCCATGGGGGAGGGGGGGTCCTCCTGGCCCCTCTGTGTAAATGTCCTTCCTGATTTCACTCTTGCCTTCTCCCCAAGACAGCTGGGACTGCTCTGAGTTGACTGGGTCCCAGCATGCACCGAGGCCGTGACCCAGCAACTCCCAACACCGTACTCGATAAATAAATGCCTGCTCTTTCTGACTCCCACTTCCCAGATCAGGTGACCCTGCCACACTGGTCCCCGGTGGCGCTGACCTTCAGGCTTCATCAGGGACCACGATGGAGGTCCCAGAGTCTCAGGTGGGAAGTAAGGCAATGAGAAGGATGGGGTGGTCACTACGGATACAGTGGGGAGAAAGCGGGGTAGGCATGGGGTAGACACGGGGCCACAGCCTTACCAGGACCAGAATGTTAGGCAGTACAATGTAGTCACTCTCCGAGCCCCGGGACCTGTCGGGCTGGAAATGGAGGCTGCGATGCTCCACAAAGGACACTGTGTCATTGTCGTGGAAGGTGATGTTGGCCTTGTGTCTGAATTCCCTGTGGAGAGACACTGGATCAGCTGGGTGTGTGAGGCCATGAGGAGGCTCCCATCAGCTCCCAGCACACCCTGGGAGCCATTGATACCCAACAGTACCAAGGCCAAGCTTGCCTCCTCTTGTCTACATACCCCAGCATCCACCCGTGCGTGGCAAGACATTGCCGCCACCAACGATCCCTTCTCTGCTCTCCCTCACCCACCACAAGGTTCTCTGAACCCCTCTGGAAAGCACAACAAGTCCCCACATCCCTCTTTCACTTGACAAGCAGCACCCAGCACCAAGCTGATATCCACCCAGCCAGCATTTACTGAGAGTTTACTACAGGCCACACGCTAAACTAAGAGGCTCAAACTAACCATCTCACCTGGTCCTTGAACCCCGCCACGGTAGGTTTCTCCATGTCACAGATGGGGAAACAGTCCTACAGAAGTAAAGCCCCTTGCCCAAGGGTAGAAGACCAGGCAGCCACTCTTAAGAGTCCCTAGTTTCAACCATGAGAGGCCAGGATTGGGACATGTGCCACGGAATGCAAAAACCTCTGGGGCCTCAGTTTTTGCATCTGTAGGGTGGGACAATGATACTCCCACCTCAGCAGGTGGCTGCACCCACAGGAAACCAAGGACAGAGTTGCTGGCGGGTGAGCCCCAGGCCCTGCAGTACCATAAGCTGGCTTCCTCACTGTTCCCCAATGCCACCATTTTCCTGCCTCAGGACTTTTGCACTGCTCATCCCATTGTTCCAGGGCCACATGTTCCCCTCCAACCTTGAAGTCACAAGTCTCTTCACACAGGCCCACACAGGCCACGTCAACTAAGACACAAGCCCCCTCCATGCTCTCTGTCCCCTCCCGGCTTGTGGCCCACTCCTTAGGTGCCATGCTAACTGGCTTCATTTCCGCACCACTGTCTTAACTTTTCTGACTCCATAGCAGCCATTTCGCCCCTTTTGTGCCCTCCGTGCCCCGCCCCCCCCACCCCCCCACCCCCAATTAACACACATACATGCGCATGTTAGCACTCAGCCCGGCCCCACAGCATCACTCCATAAAGAAATGGTCAGCCATGATGGCCTCCCTCTTCTGTGCCTGGTCCACCTCCGGAGCAATCTCCAAGGCTCAACACAGCAAACCCTCCTCCCCACCACAGCCCCACCACACCCCTCCTGGTCTCACCTGTAGACATAGGGTCCACGCTCCCGCACTACCGGCTTCTCACCCTTTAGGACCTCGTTGGGGTTGACCACCTCGAAGAAGTAGACGGACAGGTAGAATGGGACCGGGATCTCCTTCCACATCCCAAAGGACAGGCTGCTGGGGTCTATTCGGACATTCTGCAGGGAGACAGAGAGAGGAGCATAAGGAGGGGCTTGCTTCCCCGCTACGGTTCACAACAGCTGCCCGAGACTGGCCTGTGTGCCAAGGGCTCCAAAGGCCAGTCAGGAAAGGTCGTTATGGTGATCTGAAAGAGAATGGCCCCTACGGGCTTATATGTTTGCACACTTAGTCCCCAGTTGGTGAAGTGTTTGGAAGGATTAGGAGGTGTGGCCTTGTTGGAGGAGGTGTGGCCTTGTTGGAGTAGGTGTGGCCTTGTTGGAAGGGGTATGTTGCTAGGGGTGGACGTTGAGCTTTCAAAAGCTCACTCCAAAGCTGAGTGGTGGTGGCGCTCCTCTTTAATCCCAGCACTCTGGAGGAAGAGGCAGGTGGATCTCTGTGAGTTCGAGGCCAGCCTGGTCTACAGAGTGAGTTCCAGGACAGCTAGGGTACACAGAGAATCCCTGTCTCAAAAAACAAAACAAAACAAACAAAGAAGCCCACTCCAGGCCCAGGGTAGTTCTCTCTCTGCCTGTGGATCAGGATGTAAGGTCTCGGCTACTCCTCAAACACCATGCCCACGGTACTTGCTGCCATGCTCCCCGCCATGAGGATAATGGATTAGGCCTCTGAAAACTGTGAACAAGCCCCCAGTTATATATTTTCTTTTATAAGAGTTGTCTCGGTCATGGTATCTCTTCCCAGCGAAACAGAACGCGGGCTAAGACAGTGCTCCTCAGGGAATGCGCTCCTAGGACGGGAGCCCTGCACCAAAGTGGTTGTGACTTGATGATGTTTGCACTTCCATTCATCCAGTCACCCATTCATGAAGCTATTCATTCATTTTTTTCATTTACATTCATTCATTTTTTTTTCATTTATTTTCGTTCATTCATCATTTCGCTTTTTCATTTTCATTCATCATTTCACTTGTTCCTTTACTAATCCTTTTGTTCCTTTATTCACTCATTAATTCCTTCCTTCCTTCATTCATTCACCAAGCATGTTGTCAGCAGCTAACCTTGAGAGGTCAGGTCCCAGGAGTGGCAGAGAGCAGTGGGAATGAGACAGACTGTCTGTTCCCAGCCTTGTGGGGCTTTTACTGAACCAGGGAAACATGGGCTCTGTGCTTTCAAGGGGAAGGAAGCCAGTGTCGTAAGACATGTTCTTTTCGTTTTGTTTTGTTTTCCAGAGACAGGGTTTCTCTGTGTAGCCTTGGCTGTCCCGGAGCTCACTCTGTAGACCAGGCTGGCCTTGAACTCACAAAGATCGGCCTGCCTCTGCCTCTACCACCTGGCGTGGCTTGGATTCTTCACAGTCACCAGCTTCGAGGGACAAAACACACACACACACACACACACACACACACACACACACACACACACACACACACACACAACAAGCAGGGCTGGGGCGTGGCTCAGTGCTTGCCTAGCACACAGGCAGCCGTGGGTTCGGTCCCTAGCCATACAAAGTAGACATGGTGGTACAGGGTTGTCATCCCAGCACCTGGGATGCTGAAGCAGGAAGATGGTAACTATGAGGTCCAGCCTCAGATACGTGATGAATGAGACTCTGTCCCATGCACTCGGGAGGCAGAGGCAGGCGGATCTCTGTGAGTTTGAGGCCAGTCTGGCCTACAGAGCGAGATCCAGGGCAGGCACCAAAACTACACAGGGAAACCCTGTCTCGAAAACAAAAACAAAACCAAACCCACCAATTTTCTCAAAGGCTAGAAGGAAGAGGTGGGCTATTCCCTGACTTCTGACCTCTGCTTTCCATAAGAGCTAAGAGTGCCCACCCCCAGCTCACCAGAGACAGCAATGTCCAAAGGCCACCTCTGACTGTCTTTGAACTAGGCCTTCCAGGACAAGGACTACCATCCCGCTGTCCCCAAACAGCCAGAAACAACAGGTAGAGACCCCAGAGGAGGTGGCAGGCCAGAGCTGGCAGGTCAGGGTGGACTCCAAGGCAGGCAGACGCTGGGTCACACTCTCCCAGGCCTAGCTTACCTCTCCGGGCCTGGGTTTGTTCTTGAATACTACAAGGTCCCCGTCACTGAAGCCACGGCTGGGTCTAGCCTGTCCTCCACGGGACTCAAGGAAAGTAAATCGTCAGCTGAGTGTGAATCCCCACCCAGGAGAAGCCACGTCCTTCCTACAGTTGTGGCCACCAGTGGCCGCCATTGAACCACAGCCTGAATTTCTGGCACACACAGAGAGGCATGTCAGGACCTTGGCGGTGGCAGCCGAAGTGTCCCTGGGTGCCCCGTGCTAGGCTTTGCCCTCTGTACTGCATTTTCCATTTCTGGCCAGCCCCACAGCCCTTTGAGGCAGCGACTGTCATAGTCCCTTTTTTTTCCTGGTGACACAGGAGGTCTTGCCGTGGACCAAACACAGCGTCCACCTCAAGGGCCACCGGAAGGTTTAGGTAAGAGTTGACAGGGAACAGTGACTGGGATCAGGCAGGCCTCTGGCGTCACACTGTCTCCTAGTGAAAAGTGACCCTTCCCATTGTAACTACAGAATCATCTTTTAAATTTTTTTCCAGTCAAAGAGACCAGAGACACCAGGACCAGCTGACTAGATAACAGTCATGAAGCTCAAGGCGGAACATAGTTGATTCGGTCACTCTATCCATCCCCCTTCCCAAGGCCGAAGATCATAGCCCTGGGACACAGAGTGGGAGGAAGCCAAGGTGAGTCCCCTCAGGACCATGCTGCTTCCAAGGAACCGTCAGCCCAGCCCAACAGGTAGAACGGCACCCAGGAGAGCACATTTGGGCTGCGTATTAAACACTACATTGAGGGATGGAGAGATGGGTCAGTGGGGGAGATGAGGGGTCAATGCTTTTTGGGTGAGCATGATCAGAGGTCAATCCCTAGAACCCACGAAGGAAAGCTAGGCATAGTGGCACAAGCTTCTAATCTTATCACTGGGAAGGCAGAGACAGGTGAACCCCTGGGACTCATTGGCTTGCCAGCCTACTCACCAAGTACCAGGCAAATGAGAAACTCTGTTTCCAAACACAAGACACAGACATAGACACAGACAGATAGACAAGCGCGCGCGCACACACACACACACACACACACACACACACACACACACACACACACACACACACACGGGATAATACTTCTCCTAGAGGTAAATAAGAAGCCTGACGTCAGGCATGGGGACCCACACCTTTAATCCCAGCACTCTGGAGGCAGAAGCAGGTGAATCTCTTTGAGTTCCAGGCCCTCCAGGGGTACATAGCGAGATCCTGTCTCAAAAAGAAACTAAATGGGGTTGGAGAGATGGCTCAGTGGTTAAGAGCACTGGCTGCTCTTCCAGAGGACCTGAGTTCAATTCCCAGCATCCACACGGCAGCTCACAACTGTCTGTAACTCCAGGATCGATCCAACACCCTCACACAGACACACAGGCAGGCAAAACACATATGCACATAAAACAAAAATAAATAAATTTTAAAAAAGACAGGCCCATGGATACATTAGTGGCATGAATATTATAGGGGTAATCAACCACTTACTAACTGGATGTAAAACTTGCTCCACAGGGCAAAAAAACATCCCTGGTACTATGAATCTGGCCAAGAAATGATGGCTGAGAGCTGACAGGCTCCGAGGGTAAATGTACTATTATTTTGCTACATGGACATAGTATAAACCGGCCCCCATACTATGTGTATATGGGCCACAGTGATCAGATTCAGTGGGATATTTAAGAAAGAAAGAAAGAAAAAAAAAGATAGAAAGCTGGATGTGGTGGTGCAGGCCTTTACTCCCAGCACTCAGGAAGCAGAGGCAGGAGGATCTCTTTGAGTTTGAGACGAACCAGAGCTACAAAGTGAGACCCTGTCTCAAAGGACAAGAAAAAAAAAACCATAAACACATAAAGTTAAGAGGGACCTGTAGAAGATTCTTCCGGGAGGAGTAGCAAGTCCATACCATTGAAATACATTGTATGAATGCTGTAATTCTCAAAGAATAAAGAAATGACACTATATTTAAAATAAAAGAAAGTGTAGATGAGGGTTGAAGATGTAGCTCAGTGGAAGGGAGCTTGCCTAGCATGTACAAGTCCCTGGGTTCAATCCCTATCACCGTAACAAAATAAACAAAATGTGAAAAACTTAGAAAAAAAAAAAAGATGTAGCTGTCTGTTGGGGTGCACGATTGTTACCTCAGCATCAGGCGGCCAAGGTAGAAAGTTGGCAGCCTGACTGAGGCCAGCCACCGTCCGTCTCACAATAGCAAGAAAACAAAACAAAGGCAAAAACCAGGCTGTGTGCCAGGAAAAGATCCCAGGAGGGAGTTCCAGCCAAGGCTGGCCCGCTTTGAGAGCGTGCCGGGCTCCGGGTCCACCCTTAACAGGGGTGTTTCTAAAACGAGGCTCTAGGAAACATCTGGAGAGCCGCTGGGAGAGCACCAACCTGCCTCTGGCACCACGGGACAAGCCCCACGGGTGCTCGTGCCTCTGTGTGTGACCCGGTGGATTAGGTCAGTTCCATTCCCAGCACTCCAGTAGCAGAGACAGGAGGACCAGGAGTTGAAGGTCATCCTCAGCTACATAGTGAGTTCAAGGCCAGCCTGGGCTACATAGAAGCCTGTCTCAGAAAGAAAACAGGAAAGGAAGGATGCAGTGTAGTATCTCGGGGGAGCAGAGAGAAGGCAGAAGCAAAGCATATAGGCTGTGTGAGTCCTACTGTGCAAAGCTCCGGAACAGACAAGGCCGGCATGTCTCAATAAACATTTCTATTTTTTTTTTAATCACTGCAGTTACTTATTTGAGTATACAGGTATGTGTGTGGGTTTGCACACGCCAGGGCACATGTGTGGAGGTCAGAGGACAACTTCTAGAGAGGTTGGTTCTCTCCTTCCACCGTGTGGGCCCCAGGGATCGAACTCAGCCCACCAGGCTTGGCAGCAAGTGCCTTCGCCCACTGGAGCCACCTCGCTGGCCCCTAAATGATATGCCCAAACGGAAAGTCACCCGTCATTTTAAAAAGATAA